CTCAGCCCGGGGCCGCGGGATGGGCGCACGCCGGGCCTGTCCCGGGCCGAGGCGGTCACGGAGCTGCGGCCGGCATTGCTGCTGTCCCGGGCCGAGGCGGTCACGGAGCTGCGGCCGGCATTGCTGCTGTCCCGGGCCGAGGCGGTCACGGAGCTGTGGCCGGCATTGCTGCTGTCCCGGGCCGAGGCGGTCACGGAGCTGCGGCCGGCATTGCTGCTGCCCTGGTCCTTGGTTCACATCCCGCTGACAGGTGAACTGCGCGCTCAGGAAGCGCTTCGGGCCCCAGCAGGAGCTGGGAGAGCCGACACACGGGCCTGTCACTTGGTGCCCTCGGGAGGAGAGCCTTGGGGAGGAACCGGCCTGTTACCGGATCTATGTTACAACGTTTAGTAGCACCACACAACTTGCAAAGGAGAGTCTGTGATACATATTAGTCTGAAATTTCAAATATAACAAATTGGCCAGATTTTCCTACCTGTAAGATAATTGCAGCAAATAAACATTGATGAAAATGAATTAGTTAGCTTTCGCTTGGCCTTCCTTACCAGTTCCATTTCCAGTGATGTCAGCCATCCTGTGCTGATGAGCAAGCAGTCGGGAGTTTGAGCCTCCTGGTGTGTCACTGCCATTGACGATGTGTGCAGGGACTGTCCTGCCAAGGAGCTCCTGTGCAAGCAACATAAGCTGCAGAGCAGAGACTGTGCACTGAGTTTTAATGGTGCTTACATACTTCATACTTTGTCCCATCATTCACTTGAAGACATCAGTCTTGTGCAAAGAATGTTTATTCGAGGTAGCAGGTTACTTGTGGGCCACCAGTCAAGCCTGTAACTCTGTGTCTTGATCTTTGGTTCACGTTTGTGTTGGTGTGTGTGATTGGTGATCCCATTTTTTCTCATGCAAAACCCTTAATCTGGCTAACCTAGAGGTTATGTGACAGTTTGTAGTAGTCCTGAGAGGGAAGGACAGAAGAATGGGTGGGGACAGGAGTTGTGAGACCTTGTGCTCCTAAAGTGTAGAATTGCAGTAAGAAGGAGAAAGTAACCAGAAAGCTGTGTATTTCATTGTGAGAAAATGGACTAAACCTTCAACATTTTTCTTGATTTTGTCTACTTGTAAAGAAAAATTGTGTTTTAGACAACCAGAAGATTGTTGTGGAAGCTAAAGGAGCCTTTTAAAGAGAAGAAACAGAAGCTAGTATATGTATTTACTAGAAAATAAGTGCAGAAGAGGCAACAGAAATGCAACAAGGTTAGAGATAAAATAGGAATGCAATTGCCCTATGTGAGAACAATAAAAATATTAAGAGAAACAACATAAGCACATTATTTTTTTAAAAAAGTACTGATTATTGCATTTAAGTGAGCATAATGGTTGAGGTACTCCTGTCTGTAATTTTGAACAGTTCTGCTTCTTGAGATCAGTGATGAGCTCCTGATACAGAAGTACTTTAGGATGCTAGAATGAGTAACAGTGTAGTAACATCATAATTACATTATGACAGAACCTCTGACAAGATTCTTACATTCATGAGTATGGTTGCAGGTTTCCTGTGCACATTAAAAAAAAAAAAAAAAGAGTAGACTGCTTAATGTTTTCCTCTTAGCTTCCAGGTCTTGAAGGGTAAAAGTGGTGGTTCTTACAGTTGTGGCTGCAGTTCTGACCCCTTACTGCTCTCTAAACCCTGTCCTTAAGGTGAGAATTGTACTGCTTGTAGGTGACTGGCTGAAATGCTCTCCTGTTCCTACAGCACAGGACCTGGCAGCAGATCTCTCCACTAACTGCATTTCAGGTCAGAGCACACAGGAACTGCATTTCCCATGTGATTTAACACAATTTCTTTGAAATCCAATACATAAATTACATAAGGGGATATAGATCAATAATCCTTACTGAACGCTGTACGTCCATCACTGTTATAGAAGTGGACGGACTAGCAGGGATGCTATGAATGTTGGAGGCCATTTCTACCCTGCTTTATGTAGAACAAATAGACTTAGTTGGGCAGAGAGGTTTGGCCCAGACTTTTCATTATACCTCTGAAAAGCCCATAGCTGATGGTTAAAGATTTTCCTCCTGCAGAGCATTCTCTGCAAGCTTCTGTCAGTCTGCTGCATTCAGTGTCTTGAATGTTGAATGGTTCTCATGGTTTTAGCAGAGCTACCTAAAAAGTAAAAAATGTCATTGCTACAGTTCTGTGTCTTAATATCTGATCTTAATTTTTGTCTTCTGTGAGAGCTGGAAATGAATGTGATGTCTGAGAGTAAAGGTAACAAATCTCAGCGCCTAAGTGGAAGATGGTGCATTTCATGGCAGACTGAAAAATGAGGACCTTTGAGACCTGGTGGTTTTCAGCATGAGTCCTAGGGTAGGTTTACACTAGTGCAGTGGTAGGATGGGAATAACTTTTGAACTACTTAGCTGAAAAGAGGCCAGTCTGATGGAATTCCTATGATATTTGCCTTTCCTGGTCAACGGTTTTCCAGATCACGAAGAATAAACTTTTTGGATGTTGTGCGATCAGTTGTCAGACAGGGAATTGCAGCAAAAAACAGGAGATGACAAACACTGTCTTAATGGAGGTCACAGCATTTGTAACTGTCCAAAATACAGTTGATACCAAGTTATGGTGTTTTTGGAAGTACTTAAAAACAGACTCATGAAAGAAGAGGGGGAAAGAAAGGAGCTCCCAGAAGCAAAGCTGAAAAATGCCGCACTGAGAAGATAAAAGTAGGCCTGAACACTGCCATCCTGGCTATTATTTTTTCCCCTTTACCTGGAGATACTCAGTTATTTTCCTCGTCTTACCGATTTTGCATACATTGTTTAGGTCCCAAGTCTGTTTTGAACTGCTTGACTGCCTGCACATGCACAGACTTTCAGCATATCCCGAAGATGGTCCACTACTGTCAGCTATGGAGAGAATTCTTCCTGGAAACATTTGCATTGCTGGAAGGCAAAAGCTTGTTGGAAAAGCAATTGGCACCTGTAGCAGTAGTAGTGATGTTGCAGGTAGACATGCTGAAACAACATCAAAACCAGGTTTACCTCTGTTATTGAAGCTTTTTGGGAATGAAGAAGGTGGAATACTGGTATATGAGTGAAAAATTTAATAAACACTTCCTTAGAAGTATTAACTAACATTTTTTTTGCACCATAACTGGCAATGAGGGTATTTCTTGTATTCCTTGTCAGTTGATTTAAATGGCTGTATAGAAATTGTGGTCACAAACTGTGCAGATGTGACTCAATGAAGTTGCATGTGCCTGCTTTAGGACTGACTTTGATCCTACTACTAGTTATAGAATTGTTGTGAGGATGTCATTGTATGAGATTTTTGTATTAGATCCTGTTTGGTTAAATGTTCAGATGTTATATTGCATGTGACCTCAAAAGGGAGCATTCATGCTTTTCAGCACCTGAGTTCAGCCCCTCATGTGTCTTATCTCTTCAGCAACAGTAGGGACAATAGTGCTGTATTTTTGTAGGTTTTAGATGTGGAGTTTTTTTATTTGCAGTGGAGCTTTCACAGATACCTGGTGTCCACCCCCATGTATATTGCCATGAGAAGTTGGATATTCAGCTAAAGATACAGCTTAAAAATTTACATTTCTCTTAGTGGCTGGGAACTTCAATCTTTTTCATCATTGGTTTCCTTATATTTGATCTTATAGTCATAGAAAACAATTTATTAAGATAGCAATTTCAAAAATTAGGATAGTACTGCATGTATTCAGTCAGTTCCTGTGAGTGTTTTCTTTGCACATTAAAACTGCAGTCTCCGTTGTTTGGGTGGCCCTTCCTGCACTCCTGAGGAAGTTCTGTCTTTGAGGCTTACTTGCAGGGATACAGCTACAGGTAGTAGGCTCTGCTGCAAGGAAACTGAAAAGTATTTGGCCAGCTTAAGCTTAGTGTTCCAACTTGGTAGCTTCCAGCCTGTAATTTCTGTAGGCTGGGCAGGGGAAGAATCTTTGTTCTATGTCATAAGTTGACTTGGGATAACCAAGCATAGTGCTAATGTTATGTCTGCCACTGGGAGCACAGCCTTCTTCATTCTCCCTTTCCTAAATGGGTTGTCTTGCTAAGCTGAATCAAAACACAAAATCTTTTAAAAAATTGGGATTTTTGCTAACTGGCTAGACTCATTTTATGACAAGCCGTTAGTGCTATTTGCAGCACAAACAGAGGGCTGGGTATGTGTAAATGGGGGTGAAGGAATGAAGCCTCTGTTTGATAACAGCCAGTGATTGCATTGCCTTATCCTTAACATTGGTTAAAAATATGGCTGAACAGACAAAAAGTAAAAAGTGAAATCTACTGCTATGTTTTATGACACATGTATTATTAAAACTTTTTCTTTTTGGTTATGGAAAGTATTTTTCTAAGCTGTAACAAAAATAATTAATGTGTCAATCTTTTCTCTTTCAAACAGGAGGTGCCAACTTTATATGGCTCATATCTGACAACATGCACCACCAGTGGCTGCTGCTAGCTGCATGCTTTTGGGTGATATTCATGTTCATGGTTGCTAGCAAGTTTATCACATTGACTTTTAAAGACCCCGATGGTAAGTTTAGCTATAATGTTTGATGTGAAACAGAAAATTGAATAGTGCTTCACAGAAATACTCTTTTCTATGAAAATTAGTTCTTGGCATGTTATCACTTCTTCAGTAGGACTGAGAACAGAACAACTAAATTTCTGGAAGTGACAGTGCTGATATCCAGCTCCTTTTCTTTCTAGAAGTCTGCAAATCTAACATCACGGGAGAATTTTTTGTTGCTTAAGAGCAGAAGGGATCATGTTTGGTAGTACTGTCTTGGTAGGTCTGCGTTTTCAAATACATTTAGTTCCAGTATTGTCATCTGCTAGGGGTAGAAGTTACGTGCAAAAACAAAAGAGCACTATTACCTGTTCTAAGTCAGAGGAGACTCAGAAGGTACTGAAGAGTTCATTTCACAATACTAATTTCTGTCTTTTTGTCACTGCTTGTCTTGTGACTGAGGCATCATGTAAAACCTGTGGAAAGTTTTATTTCATTTGCAATGCACTTTGCCTAGCCACCTCTGTCCTGCTTCTTGCATTCAGTTTTATCCCCTGCTGTTTGACTTGTAAACAGCTTATAGGCTTTTGCTTAGCTTAAGTGGCCAAGATGTTGTTAAGATGATGAGGAATTTAAGCCATTTGATGACACCACACAGCATGTTAGTTTTGTGTCTGCTGAGGAGCCACTCTTACAAAGCCATCCTACTGAGAGTTTTGGGTGAAGGTGATGATATAGCTTTGGTCTTAAGAGATCTGTGTTTCTGCATCTTCCTAAGACATGCAAAAATACGTAGCATTTGAAGCACTGACACTTGTGCCATATTTTTCAATACCTTGATAATGGGTAAATATATTAGGTGTACCTTTATAAATAGTATGCATCTATGTGAAGATTTATTCAGGAAGTCTTACAGAGGATAACTGTAGACTAACTTAGCTTTCCTTGGACCCAGATGTTCTGTCCTGGTACATCTACAAATCTAGCTAGTCTTATGTTACATAGTTCTATCTTCCAGTATTTCACTCTATGCCAACTCTTGTTTCCCACCTCAGGTAATCTTTGGGTGGTTCTTTTCATCAGAATTTGTCAGGAGAATTAAAACGTAGTTTAAAAATAATTACTAGAGCATACCCTCTGCATTTATTTGCTTTTTATTACCTTGGCTTGCCAAGTTTTTTTGTTTTGTTTTTTTTTTTCTGTGCTGAATCTTCCACTCCTTTTGAATAGTTCTCTGAGCAGATGATACATAAATTCTTAAGCTTGTCCTGCAAAGGCGTGACTATGTAAGTGTATGTATGTGTTGGAGTGTTTTTAATAAAACTAACGAAGGGAAATACTTTGAATATGTGAACAGAATTTTGGAGGAAGTCCAAACAGGATGGCAAATCCTGGAGAAGCTCTTCTAGACTTAATAAAATATGACTTGTCAGAGATCTTTCTTATTTGGATGTATCTTCTTAGCAGATAGAATAAAACCAGCAGATGCTCAATGAATCAATGTTCTTTTGTTTAAGCCTTTTACTGATGTCTTGGGTGCATGAGCAATAGCGACTTCTTAAGGAGTAGGTTTTTGTCCATCATTCCTAGTAACATCTACAGGCATGCTTTTATACAATGATCGTGAAAAAAATTTAGGCACTCTTTCACTGAATCAGATTACTTGTATTTTACAGAAGAACACCATGAAGTCTGTGCACAGCAATAATTGCCATTTCTGAATGCTTGAATGCCTACATTGCTTTCAGTTTTAACTTGCTTTTCCATGCATTCCCTTTGTTAAAATCCAGTGTAGGCAGAGTAGAGTGCTCCCTTAAGAAAAGGACATAGGCAGTGCACACATTTTCTCAACCATGAAACAGTATGCCCCTGTGGATGCAGATGAGAAAACATTATTCACAGAAGAATCTAAATGAAGGGAAAAGCAATCTAATATGGATGGAAATAAATGTTCAGGGAGAAATCATGGTCTTTTTGCTTTGTAGTTAGGGAAAGCTGTTTCAAATTATTTTTGATCTTTCTGCACTGTGTAGGCTAAAGCTAAAACCTTGTTTTATTTTTTGGTTTTTCTGTACCGTACTAAATGCAAAAGATGAAAAGGGTTCTTCTGTACATGCTTTAATTTGGTCTCAAACTTACCTTCCCTAAGATCACTAAAAAAGAACAAGAATATCAGCTGAGTTCATTGTTGTTGAGAAAATCTCTAAAGAAGGCCATCGGTCTAGTAAAAATGGAAGAGGGGATCTTTCTTTATTTTTGGTTATAGGTGCTTAGAGCACCACAGAAATAAAAGGGTGTTCATAATGACACTTTCCTTCATATAAGTTTAATAGTCTACAAAAGAAGAAACATTTCTACTACTATAAGGAGAGAGAAGAACCTGATCTAAGTTTATTTGGACATGCTTTGGCAAGTTCATTGAAAAATAGAAATCTTCTATGCAGAAGTCCACATAGTTATACCAAATTGTCTACCAATTGTGGTATTTCGATTCAAGACTTTGGTGCCTCTCTGCACACTTTTTGGAAAAAACCAAAGCAAACAACAACAACAAAAAACCCCCAAGTAAAATATAATGGGTATGTTTCTTTGATAAAACTCAAATGAAGTTGCATCCAAAATTCCCACAGAATACATCCTTGAAAATATTTGTAGTCTGTGTTTGTCTTCTCTGGTACCTTTCCATGTAGAAACAAATCCTAATGTTCTGTAAGCTTGAAACAGCAAGTAAAGTTCATGTTTTAGTTGTAAGGCAGAAATAGTTGCCTTCCCCTCACCTTCTGTAATGCTATTATCTCTCTTCCTTCTTTAGGCTATGGTGCCAAGCAAGAGCCATTGATACTGACAGCTGTGACAAAAGTAGAGGAGGTACATGTGCCAGAGGAAAAACATTGGCCTGAAGAATTCCAGGTGCATACTGTTGAGATAAGGGTTATGTGTATTAAAGAGTAGAAGAAAATAAGATATTAAGGAAGGGCTTCCTGTTGTTAAGATGAATTGCTAGACAGGACTTATTTATTCAGACTGTTCTATTTAGATAGAGCCGGCAGAATTCATTTTAACTTCACAAAGCTGGTTTGTTATGGTAACCTGCTGTTTCATCTGAATGATTCAACTTAATGTGTTTCCATTTCCAGGAGAAAATTGTTACAGTACTCCTTTATCAAGTCAGGACAGTCGTTTTTGTTGGCCTTTTTAATATAATGGCCCACTTTTGGATTACTTTGTGTTCTGTCTTGCCATAGCAATCAGGTTTGTTGTTGTTGAGGGCAAGCCTGTGTCTTCTCTATTCTCTTAGATTTCTGCCCAATCTCTCTGTTTCTTTTTATCAGTGTCAATTTCTTTTTCATGTTTTGTGCTCTTTGTGTTTCACATTTCAGCATTTTTCCAAAGTAGAACATGAACACAATAGTAGTCAATACCCGTTGATCTTTCAGATGCATGGTTCTGTGCTTTCAGCAAATTGACAATGAAACGCTGAAAATCCTTTTGTACAAATGTAAATTGTAGACCAGTTGCAGAGTGGGCTAAATAAAAAAAAATATTGCATTTGTACATAAGTCATCTGATGTTTAAAGTGTTCTTGTGATGCAGCATGGAAGGTAGGTTAACTGTATAACCATGACTCCTTTTGTTTTCATTTTTCAAAAACATGAAATTTAAGTTACCTTCAAAATGCTTGGGAAAAGCACTTTGTTCAGTGGAAGGCTGGCAGATATGTATAGTGAGTTTTAATAGCTTTCTTTACTAGAATGGAAGAGGATAATAAGTTTTCTGATCTAAAATAATTCCCTCTTGACTTTCTGACAATGTGAAATGTAGGATAACAACATTAATATTGGTTGCATGCAGTAAGAATTGTTCGGACAGATAAAATAATCTGACAGTCTGTTCAGATTACATTCTGAGCAGGGGGTATTGGAGAGGAGTGACAAAGAGAAAAAGTAGAATTTTTTTCCCTTATGGAAGGTTGGGACAAAAAATAAAATAATTCCTTTTTTTCATCTGTAACTTGGACACTATACCTAAAATCATAGAATCACAGAATGGTTTGAGTTGGAAGGGGTCTTTGAAGATCATCTAGTTCCAAGCCCTGCCATGGACAGGGCTTTCATTAGGCCAGGTTGCTCAGAGCCCCATCCAACCCGGCCTTGAACATTTCTGGGGTGGGCCATCCCTAGCTGCTCTGGGTAACCTATTCCAGTGCCTGACCCTCATAGGAAAAAATTCCTTCCTAATGTCTAAACCTATTTTTTTTGTTGAAAACCATTCCCCATGCCTTGTCACTTCAGGCCCTGGTAAGAAGTCTGTCTTTCTTACAAACCCCTTGGGAAAAATGAAAAACTGCAGTGAGGTTTTCCTGGAGCCTTTTCTTCTCTGGGCTGAAGAGCCACAGCTGTCTCCTTAGGAGGTGCTCCATCTTGGACCATCTTCATAGCCTCCTCTGGACCTTCCATTAACAGGTCTATGTCTTTCCTGTGCTGGGTCTCCAGGGCTGCAGGCAGCACTCCAGGTGGCAGTAGAGCAGAGTACAGGGGGAGAACCACCTCCTTTGATCTGCTGGCCACAGTGCTTTTTTTATGCAGTCCAGGGTGCAGTTGGCTTTGTGGGCTGCAAGTACACACTGCCAGCACATACCAAATTTTTCACTCATCAGTATCCCCAAGTCCTTGGCAGGGTTGGTGTTAATCAGTTCATACTGTACTCTGTATTGATATTGGGGAATGCCATTCAGTTAATGAAAAGGTGGAAATTTGTCAGTTGAAGTTTAAACTTTCCCATCACCTCCTAATTAGAGAAGTTCATTTTTCCTCTCACTCCACTAGTTGTGAGGCAAGAGGTGGTTGTGGTTCCTGTCTTAGTGTCAGAAAAATGAGACATGTGAAGCAGCTCATCCATTTTTGGGGAGAGGTATCCTGCTGCTACTTTTATTTGTTACACTGATGCTCATTGTTCACATTTTTATTCACCTGATTTTATTTCAGCTTGGATAAATGGATGCCTACAGGTGCTAGAAAACAGCACAACATCACAGAACTTTCATAATAATTTTTTTCCCAGTCAGATGAGTCACAAAATATTCTGAGTTGGAAGGGACCGACAAGGATCATTGAGTCCAACTTCAGACTGCACAGGATGTTCCCAAGAATCATACCATGGGTCAGCCCCATCTTCTCAGAGCTTAAAGCATAATTTATGTTGAAACTCTTGTCCTAACCTCTCAGAAGCTTTCTTAGAGGTTGTTGAAACTCCGTGAGAGTTCCAGTATTTGATCAAGGCATGTTTTATCCACACAGATAAGACCCATCAGCTGTGCAGGAGACTTAAATTGTTGTATGGAAAAGCTTTTACTACTGTATGCTACCATGTAATGTCTTAAGAGTAGGCTACTCCTTTAGTTAATATGTAGGTAGCAATGTTTTAATCATGTATCTGGGAGCCATTAGGGTGCATAGTTTGGGGACTTTTATAGTTTAGAATTTGATCTGAAAAATTAAGTCTTTAACTTTTGTTTTTTCTTTCTTTTCTGCATTTCCTAAAGCCAACTGGAAAAGCTTTTTCAGGAAATCTGATCCACCAACCCCTGGTTCATATGGAAAGACTTGAGCTTCTCAGGAATGTCTGCAGAGACACTGCATTGAGAGATCTCTCTCATACCGCAGTTTCCAAATTCGTCTTGGACCGAATATTTGTGTGTGACAAGCACAAGATCCTGTTTTGTCAGACGCCAAAAGTGGGCAACACTCAGTGGAAAAAAGTCTTGATCGTTTTAAATGGTATCTACTTTTCTGTGGGTGTGTGGGTTTCTTTGAGGAGGAAACGGAATTGCTCTAACTGGGGCAACTAAAATGGATTCTTTCTGCATTTCTGTACACTGGTACTTAATTTCAATTTTTCATTTATCACAGTTGTTTCTAGTCCTTTCAAAACATCTCTTAAAATGAGATCTGTTCTTTATGTAAAAATAAGTATTGCTATTACTTGGCTTAAATGTTATTTGAGTCATGACAGAGTAGCCATATGCATGTGGTATGTTGGTTTCTTTTCTTTGAAGGGGTGCACTAATTTATAGAATTTGAAAGTATATGATGAGGTAAGTAACAATAATATGAAATTTCTGGCTAAAGGCCAGTGACTTGTAAGTAGAGATTTTAGCCATGAAGGAAGCCAGTTAAAACTTGGCAGTTGCTGTTAGTCTGTATTGCTGAAATCTTGTGTGTGTTCTATCATCTAAAGAGTTATGAAGATTCTGAGGTGCTTAACACAATAATTTGGTCGCCAAAGGTATGTTAGATAAGATGGTGAAAGAAGGAATAGAGGGACTAGTGTGTTTGAAAAATTAGCTAATGAACTGTGTCCCTCAGCAAACTTTTCTAGCAAGACTCCTTGCTTGCTAACATTAAAAACTTCAATGTTAATTTCATCCTTGATCTGTGAATGTGAACTAAAAGTCTAGCAGAGATATGCCCATATGTGTGTGCATGTTTCTTAATACCTATGAAAGCCACACTCAAAGTACTAAATATGGAACTATATGAGGGCATTGAAATACCTGCTCTTACCAGCATTTGAGAGATAACATACAAAGAATGCCTCAGGATGGACAGGGATGTATTTGCTATGCTGAGTGGAGGATAACTCACGTCTTAACAGCAGGGAACTTTTCACCTTGAGTTTCCTAGTTCTGTCATGTTGGATAATGACAGAAAATTGCTTCCACATAAACACCGGTCTCTTTTGCCTTAAGCTGCCAGTGCACTGGCACTTCGACCGCTGGTGAAGGCTACTGCTGTGGTTGACCTAACTTTCTCCTCTTTGGGTAGTCTCAGAAGGCAGGGCTGATACTTGAGGGGGAATTATTTATGTCCAAATATCTAAGTGGTATTTGGAGGTTCAGGATGGGGAAATGCAGCTGTAGCACTGTGAGGGAGCTAACCCTGCTACTGCTTCTACTGAATATGTTCTCTGAATGAACGCAAGGTGTCAGTTTCTGAGGCTGTCTAATCTGACATCTGTTGTCCACATGCAATTCACCTATGGCACCAAAAAATACAACTGAAAACCTGAAACTGATAAAATACAAACGCAGACCCCACCCCTCACCCCTGCCCACTCCAGGAAAAAAAAAAAAAATTGGAAAACTGAACAAGTGAATGGTGTGTATTATTCAAGAATTCAGTTCTGGAAACAAGAAGGTTGTAGAGGCTTTCACTTAATTGGTTTGTTTTGTAGCACCCTGTGCTTGTTGCAGGTTGATATTCTGAAATGATGCTGTTGTGTGAAGGTTTATGCCTGAAGCCCAAGGGGCCACATGAGATGTTTCTCAAGGTCATAAAACTTTTCAGGATCAGGATACTAAAATGAATGCAGCAGAGTTAAGTGGCGTTATTTTTCTTGTCAGCTCATGTGCTTGCAGAAATGAATGTGTGGAGACTTCTGTTGTTAATTTTAGTGCCTTTTAATCTGTGGAGTATTCTATGATTGGAATTTTTGTTTCAGCACAGCATACTTGGTAAAACCAAAACTTTATGGATCCTTAAAGCAAAGTACTTTTGCACTGAAGCAGTTTCTGAAGCAGCTCATCGCATTTATTTTTGTTGGCTGAAGCTCAGCCAAAAAGCTGGTTCCTTCTTCTGCATTAATCCTTAAAGTCTTCCTCCATTTATATGTGTTTGTGCAGGCAGAGGGAAAGAGAATGGGGACACTGACATGTGAGGAGTTACAAGCTTAGACATAATTACTGATGAAATTTGCATAATATGCTGTTCTGAGAATTTTGGGGCCATTTGGTCTTGGACCTTGATGTCACATATCCTAAAGAATTTTAACAGTTTTCAGCTTTGCAATCAGAATTTAACAGTTTTAAACATAGTAACTTTAAATGGTAAAAATAAAGAAAAGAGAAAGACATAAAACTGTCAGCCAAAGGCATACATGCCTACTCATACTCACTGTTTTTTCCCTTGAATGAATCATTGCTCTCTCATTTTGATTTGTCTAGGAGCATTTTCTTCCATAGAAGACATCCCAGAAAACATTGTACATGATCATGAAAAGAATGGCCTTCCACGCTTGTCCTCTTTCAGTGACTCTGAAATTAAGAAACGGTAAGTGCCAGTGAGTGTGGGAGGGGTTTGAGGTCAGTGGGGTTATGAGCAATCAAGGGTACAGCTGAAGTCTGAATCTGAAACTGAGGGTAACAGGATTTCTGCTCCACCACTTGTATCATGGCACTATTCTGTTATCCTCACAGATGTCGCTGTGTCTGCCTTCCTACTGGCTTTGAAGGAGAACACCAGTGTAATCTGTGATATAGTTAGGTGAGCTAACCAGCTCCCTGGGATATAAGTGCATATTAATGCACTAATTAATTCAGTGCATACCTAGTTGTTAGATAGCTGACCTTCAGAACTGAAGGTTTAATTGGACAGCCCATCCTGATGTCTTGTATTATAAAACCGTACTGCCTACAGGTAAGATTGTCATTGCAGCAGACATACTGGGATTGAACTGGTTAGGTTTAAATTGTTAGTCCTTCTTAGCCCCAGAATATTTTCCATTTAGCTGAGCCACTTTATCTTCCTGTTTAAGTGCTTCTGGTTATTTTCAGAGCCTAAAAATACTCTGCCATAGAACTACATTACTTTGGCTAGATTTTTCACTGTGCCTGCTCATCTCTACTAGAGCCTATGCCATATATAATCCCTGTAAGGGGTGGCAGCATTGAGAGAACGGGACATAGGATGACAGTGGACACTTGTAAGCGTGTGCTTGCATGGGTTTGTGTGCATTACAGCACTCTGAAAAGCCAGCCCTTTATACATGTGTCACATGTCATTAGAGCTCAGCCCAAGGTATTTTGTTGTATGCGAGGGCACAAGGACATTTATCACAGCTGTGCCTGTAGAATTGGGGTCACTTGATTGTGTTGATATTGTGCAAAGGAAAATATTGTCACTGTTTTCTTAAGAATGTGGATCTGTTCTCCCTCCTTGTGAGCAGCCTTGCAGAAAAGGACTGTTCACCTGGTGATGAGCCCTAGTTAGGATAAGTTGAATCCATTATTGCTTGGGTTGCTGCGTTCTGCTCAGCATGGAAGCTGTGCTGGAGGTGTGTAACATGGATTTGGTTGGGATCTGAAATTACTAGTTTTAGATGTGGAAAGCAGGATGGTGTGGATCTGTTGATTTAGTTTGCTGACCTCTATCTAGACCTGCCAGGCTAGGAATAAGTCAGGAGTATGTGAAATATGATTCAAGTGCTGTACAGGCTGAAGAGTCCATCCGCATCCTGTCCATCCTGATTTCAGTGAGGGTTGGTATCTCAGTCTCTTTTCATAGCTATTTATTGAAATAAACTTTGTTTTCAATGTATTCCTCATACACATAATCTGACTACATAATATTACATATTATGTATCACAGTAATACATGAAATTCTGTTGAAAACTGTGGTCTCATGTTTCAGTGGTGCTCTCAGCCATTATTGAAAGCATGACAAACCATCAAAATGAAATACCATTCTTAAATTTTTTTTTGTGCTTTAGCAGCAATCTAACTGCCTGCCAGTGAAAAATGCAGCCTTTTATATGCATTTTGCTGCACCAATGCACTTTTCCCCATGTCCTTATGTATTTTGCTTTTTGACCTTGATCACATGACATTACAAATATCTTTAACTTGAAGTTCTCAGTGTCTTTTGTCTCCTGTTTGTTGTGCATTGAGATAAAATAAGCTCCTCCAGTGTGAATAAAATTTGAAAACTAGGATAAACTATGTAAAAACTGCTAGTAAGAAGACAGAAAGTGTATTTCATCCTATAATATTGATGCAGGTGCTCTAAGATTCACATTGCTGTGTCTATGGTGAGAGTTTATGTACATTTTGTAAGTATATGCTAAACACTTTCCTTAATCCTTTAATTTTTTTCTTCCTCTATTTAGACTGAATTTATACTTCAAGTTTTTTATTGTTAGAGATCCATTTGAAAGACTTATTTCTGCATTTAAAGACAAGTTTGTGCACAATCCTCGTTTTGAACCTTGGTACCGGCATGAAATTGCTCCCGGCATCATTCGTAAATACAGAAAGAATCGCACAGAGACCAAAGGGCTGCAGTTTGAGGATTTTGTGCGCTACCTGGGGGACCCTAATCACCGATGGCTGGATGTTCAGTTTGGTGACCACATCATTCACTGGGTAACATATGTGGAACTTTGTGCTCCCTGTGAAATCACATACAGTGTGATTGGACACCACGAAACCCTGGAGGATGATGCTCCGTATATCTTGAAAGCAGCTGGCATAGACCACTTGGTATCATACCCCACAATCCCACCGGGCATAACAGTGTACAACAGAACAAAAGTAGAGCGCTATTTTTCAGGAATTAGCAAGAGAGACATAAGACGCCTCTATGCACGATTTGAAGGCGATTTTAAACTCTTTGGTTATCGTGAGCCTGATTTCTTGCTTAACTGACTCCTGGGATAAGATCTGAAAGTGTCCCATGTATTAATTTAAACCTGTGTGAATACCAGCTGCAACACTGGTAGAGCTGAGAATGACCATTTGTTTTCTAGCTTTTTTTGATGTTGCTCCACTTTCCAGTGAAATATTTGTCATATGAACAAGTAGGGGCTTATAGTTGTTGTTTCCTGACCATGTTTTCAGTACATGACATTGCAATCTGTTAGGAATTATGTCTCTGTTATCTAAAATACAGAATTTGACTTCTCCCCTCTTCCCTCCAGGAAGAAAGAGGGAGAACAAATGGGCTATGATCTTCCTCTCCTCCCAGACAGAATGCCATTTTTGAAATGTTGTGAAGTATTTATAAAGATGGCAATTTCACTGTAGGTTAACCCTGACATGTGGATAAACATAATGATTCCTGCTCATGAGAGTCCTGTAGTCTCCCATGAGCTTTGTAAATGAGAGGCCAGTACAAGACTAGAAATTAATTAAATGCTTGACAAATATAACCATCTAGGTACTGTCATGTGACTGCTACAATAACCCTGATCTAATCTCATTCTTGTTTGTCAAAAAATGAACCTAATTAGACAGAAGCTTTTAGAGATGTAAGAAAATGAACTGGCTCCACACCCCAGTTGTCTCTGTACTTTTGTCAAGTGTTTGCTGTATTTACTACTGATGTATTGAGCCTCATAATTCTACTTTTGGTTTTTAAGAGATTATTTAACTCCTGGCTATGTAAGTTATGTGAGAACACCAGCTGCAAGTGGAGCATAGAAGAAATATGAAACTGCTAAGGAAACTGTTAAGGAAAATTAATTTAAAGTATCAGTTGTATTTGTGGGAGCACATACAATAATCACAAGATGCTCTCACACAGTTTAACTTGTCTTCTAACAGTTAAGATTAATAAAGAAGTTACAAAAGCAAGATGTTATATTAAAGAGCTGCTTACTTGGATTAACAATCCACCTTTTTATATCCAGCCTTTCTCAGTTTAGTATCTTGGAGAACAGAAAGTTTATCCCGCTCTGAAAATTCATCTCCCTACTGCTAAAGGAGAGAAGGAGTCAAGATGAATCCCTGATTTTTCCAGTGATTCACTGCCATGGTGTCCCAAGTCAGAAATGACTGGTATTTATGGTATTGACATGGTAAATTGGCTATTTACCAAAGTTTAAATGCTATCTAAACTTGGGTATCCATTTTATGCATTAAAAAAAAAATAACTGAATTGAGTGGATGCAGCCATCATACTTACTTGTGCTTGTATTGTGTTTTATAAAGAACAGTCTCTTGTCTGAGTTCACCAGCAATAAAAACCATTGTGCTGCCACTTCATCCCACAGGCCGTGGAAGAGAGAGATAGATCAAATATCTGAAATACAGGAATTGCTCTGTTGCAGTGGGCATGTGAACTGTATTTTTTAAATCATAGTCCCAAAAGATTTATTTTCAGGTTGGCATAATGTTGCTGGCTAGAAATGCTAATGATGGCCAGTGCTATGGAATCTGCTTTTAAATCCAGCCACTCTATGTTTTTGATAGCTTTCTGTATTAGTACAAGGAAGCATCTAGCACTTGGGTTAAAGGAAAGCTGTGCCAAGCTGACATGTGCTGCTACCCCCAAAACAGGAAGCCCTGTTGTAGCTGGAAGTGATTTCTGAAAGATCTCGCAGATGAACTGAAATAAAGGAGAGTCATTAACTGGGTACTGTTAGGAAGAGAATAACCCAGGGTGGTAAAGTTGGAAGGTAGGATATTCTTCAGGTTTGTTTGTTTTGTTTTTTTTTTAACAACAATTATAGTCCCCTAACTTGTTAGTTCTTAACCAATGATAAAAAGATGTTAACAGCTCCAGGTTTTTCTGTGGTTTTCTTAATATGGAAACTTAGCAAAATGCACTGATAAATGCATTTTGGAGCTAATAACCTGATTGATTACTTTGCTGCCAATTTAAAATGTAACAGTGAATAATGTATAGTAAATTCGGGCCTTAAAATTTAATAAAGTAGAATTGTTTTCCTCTGAAAGTATAAGCTACTGATCACACAAAACACCAACGTATGTTTTTCTTTTTCTTGGTAAATAACGTATTGATAGCTTAAAAATTTCTAGATAGAAAGTGCTACATAAATATTAAGTACTCATATTTTTTTCTGATAGCTTTCTCTGTATTGAGTTCTCTCAGCCATCTATGAACAGAACTATGGGCTGACCTAAGCAGAGGTGTATAATCCTCTTCTATCTCTGTGTTCCCATGCTTTTCAGGCTGGAACTGGAATGCATGTTACCATTTCTTCAATTCAAATGTGAAGTTTCTCCTTTCAGTTATATGTTCCTGAGCTATATTTTCTTTCTAGAAGTATGGGGGGTTTTTTCCCCTTAAATGGCTGAAGTAGCAATGGTGCAATTTTGGCACATCTCTTGAGGAAACTTGTATACCATGATGGTCCTTGGCAAGGTGTGGTAGGGCTCTCCTTAAACTGGTGCAGTACAGGCAGGATGGTCAGAGTGTGCTGTGTTAGGGAAAAGGCTCTTGCCATGCTGGTTATGATAAATTAAATGGTTGTGGTTTGTTTTAGCTTGATTGTACTCTGCACAAGGCTTTTACAAATATAGTCTCAGTGGCATGCACAAACATCATTTGGCTGTTCAGATGTTATTTGCATACCACTTTCAAACTGCAGATGATACTTATGTCATATTTTTGGAACTGCTGGTCCAGATTATTCTTTCTCCTTTCTTATTATTGTTACAGCTTCAGAAAACAAATTAATATCCTTACTTTGTGTCTCTGTTGTCTCTCTTTAGCAGCTTTTGAACTCTTTGGCCCATTTTAACCACATTTAGCAAAGGAAAGTCAAGAGGTAGTGGTAGTGGTCAAGAAGCAATTTTCTTGAAAATAGGAGGAAAAACACTCCTTGCACATCAGAGAGTCCATGCTGTATGTCAGCTTTAGCAAAAGTACAGACAGTAAACAGTTTTACAGTACCTGCTTGTATGGAGCTCCTGGTTTCTAATGGACTTCCTTCCTTAGTGCTCCTTAAAATTTGGCCTCTTAGCTAACAAAGGCAAAAAATTAAATTAAAATGGATTCCATGGGTCTGTTTTCTTCACATTCCTAACAAAATTGAGCTGACTGGGTTTTTTGAGATCTTGGGAGTAAGAGAGTTTGTCTTGTGAAAATGGATTAAGAATTTACCTGCTTGTGAAACAACTTTATGGTAATGCCTATCCCCTTTCCTTCTAACTTCAGCACACAGTACATTGTCACTGCTGTGCTTTCTGATTGCGTGCCATGAAGATGTTTTTCTGTAGTTAAAAATACATGTGTATTTTTTTTTTATTATTTTGGGAACTGTTCTGTCAAAGAAAATGTCTTGAAAATATGTATTCTTCCCAAAAAAAGCATGTTGTTTTCTGATTCATGCGCAGATGCTGCCCTGTTTGTACTGGGAGTAAGGCTCCCTGCTGCTCTGTGTGTCTCCATCCTCAGATTAGGAAAGCCATCAGACAGCTCTGGCTTTTGTGCAACATTACTTTTTTCTTGAGGTGCTAATAACTTTGTTGGCTGGGAAAGCAGCCTTTGATCTTATCTGTGCTGCAGAAAGTTTGCTGAGAAAAAGAGTAATTATATAGGGAGTGCTTAAGCTTATGTTCTCAGATGAAAAAGGATGTCTTGTCAGTGTGTCTGCCTGTATCTGATACCTCGTAATTGACAGAGAGAGGGGAAATGATCTTTCTGCTTAATGGCCTTGTAGTGATTTATGCTAAGACCCCATCCTATTTTTTGTTATAGCAGCATGAAGGGGACCTGGAAGGAGGTGTGTAGTCAGCATGTGCTTATTGGAAATGTGAGGGTGCAAAGGAAACTTGACATGGGAGTTGGTTGCTCAAGATTTATCACGTCAAATTACTTGTTACATATCATCTGCAGAGGCTGGTGTGGATTCTTTGTGGCCTGTGCTTGAGATTTTATGCAAGGTAGAAAGAGGCTTTGTGGGTGGTGGAAAATTCCCTTTCAGCCTAAGTTAGCTGTGCGTGTTCCTGGGCTGCTGCCGTGGGGAAGGTTTTAGAAGGAAATGATCCTATTAGCAGCAAAGCCTGCAGTGCTTGGGCTGGTGAACAGAGTGCCTCCCTCCTGGAGGAGGAGTGACTTCGGGCTCACACTGATGTGTGCAGCCAGCTTTGGTGCTGTCTTGTATAAATCTCTATTTTTGTGCTTTTAATGCAGTTGTGTGCAGCTGAGCTGTCAGCTTGGTTTCCTGCGTGTGGCAGTAGCCTGAGGTGACTCATCTCTTCGCCACCAGAGCAGCTTTGAAAGGCCTGCAGCCTGTTTTGCTATGCAGCAGGAGACATTCCCCTTATGAAGAGAGCAGCATTAAGCCTTCAGCCATGCAGCTGGTGGCAACTGGCTGGTGTAAGCATGAAAATGGTGCTGTTTGGGGCTTCCTGCTGTAAAATCATCATTTTCCCTTTAAGTCCAGGCAGGAGTGAAAGGGAACAAAGATATGTGTTTGCTTTGAGTCACAAAAAGGAGCCATGCTGTTAAAAATTCCAGACTGGTAAACCCAAGGAAGGCAAAATCTGGGAGAGCAATGCTGAAAAAAGCTGTGGGCAGTTTTTCTTAGGCTCCCAGAGATGCTGAACCTGTTGAAGGAGAGTTGCTGAAGCTTCCTGGGAGGTGTCAGAGGAGCAAGCATGCTCCCTGTAGCATGTATGTGCATGCCAGAGGAGCAGATGCTGATGGGACAGCATGCACATGACAGGTTGAAAGTGTGAAACATCTACTGTTGGGTATCTGTTTGAAATCACAGAAAGGAGGAAATAATAAAAAAAAAAGCAAGTGGGAAGGAAATAATGAAAAAATAATCCTGAAGGCTGCACCCCTGGAAATGCAGTGCTCACTCTTAACTGCCAGAAACATGCCAACTGCCCTGGATGTGTACCAATAATTTCTGAGCAGTTTGCAGGACCAAAGCAAATCTGTGAGTGGGAGGGTAAACTGCGATCATAGGGCATCTATACATGCTCTGAAAAGTGATCTAATTCTGAGAAGCTAGCCAAGGTTCCCAGTTGTGCCTAAGTGGATCTGATATAGGAAAAATGCATAGCTATAGTGGAAGCACACAAGTAGAAAAAGCTCTTGTGGGATAATTTGCTTTCAACAACCAAGAGTTAGACACCTGCTGTGATTTAAGAAATAGGAACATTTTCTCTTTAACATCCATTTTTTCCTCTTCTCTGCAGCCTTTTTGTTTTATTCAGTTTACCTTCCTGTGTCCTGAGAAATCTTTGGATGATACACTGCAGTAGGACACAACATTCTTTTGTCAGAAGGGTAGAAGAGGCTGTAGGAAATACAAAATATTCGCCACAATTTTGAGTAACACAAGAAAAATACAGAGTTTATATCAATCATGAAAGATTTAGTGAAACACACTAAATCTGCTAGGCATTTCACTTGAGTTAAAGGCACAGAAACTTGTGGTGACTGAAACATTAAGATTGCATGGGTTGCTTCTTAGATGTTTCATGTGTTGGGCAGAAATCCACTTAGGGAAAAATGATCGCAGTTCTGTTTGGCATCTTTTTCTTAAGTTTTAAATAACTCCCAGTAAGGTTTTACAACAAGTAAAATTTGAAGTTTGCCATAACACAAAGCTTCACTTTGGATCCACTTATTTTGCTCTCATTCCCCTGTGAGTATTTTGTAGAGTAAGATTTGAGTCTGTTCTTACTCCGTTTCTTTGATTTCTGTCTGTTCTTTGCAATGTTGTAGCACTTGTGCTTGTGAAAAGGAAATGAGCAAGAAGAGTCACAAATATTCTGGAGAGAGTATTTTCTCTCTTTGGAAAGAGCATCTTTCCAAAGCAGACCTTTATTTGTGTGCTGCTTCCATTTACAACACCTGCTTTCATTATCTTTTCTAGTCTAGTCTATCTTTCTTTGTCTAGTTCTTTGCTGTAAAACCCATTGGGATACACATTTGTTGTTAAACCTACGGATTTAGAAATGTGTAAGAGGAAAGGGATTAGGAAGAGTGTTGCAGCAGGAAAGAAAGAAGCAGCAGGAGGAAAGGGCTTCCACAACCTCTTTCACAGTTCCAAAGCTTAAGCTCCATCTTACTCTTGTTTGACAGCTTTTAGAACATAGGTTTTTGGCCTTACGGGAGACATAGTGTGTAGTGTAGCAGCATGTCTCGGTTGCATGCTTGCACACACTTGCTCTTCTCTGATAGAATCAGGGAACATTCTCATAGGTGAGACCTTTGTTCCATGAAGTGTTACAGTACTGCCTAGCAAAGATGGAGCAAAGATGTTTTTTCCCCTT